GTAATAAAACTAGGGAACCAAACAGCACCTGTATTCCTTCGTAGTAATATTATATTAGGGCTCTTGCGTTTGTACCCTTGTTTTGTATTGAAATTGTGAAGCACCAGTTTGCCCCTACTCCGTCATCCACCCCTAACGGTGTTAAACTTTGTACAAAAGGACATGAATGCCCATGCGATTTTGCCCTTGTTTGTTATGCCTAACTGTGATTTTACCCTGATTTACAAAAGTCGTCGGCCATTCCCGACGAGCCATGAAGCAAGGCGCCGGCGTGGCCATCCTTGCGGTGCTGTGGGGAAAAGCAAGCGTACGTGAGTGCCAGTCTGGCGCCTCTGCGCGTCCAAAGCAGCTTGTTGGTCGCGACGCGTGCACGAGCCAGCAGTCAGCCCGTGGTGGCTCCTCGCCGTCACGCGGGCGCGCAGCGCCAGGGAGGCGACGGCTCGGGGTCGTGGCGGCGGCTGACCAAAGACGACCACCGAAGTCGGCGGCGCCGTCTGTCACGCTGATGCCTCCACCTTCCTCTGCTTCTACGGTCCGGGCGGCGCGGCGGTGGCGGTGGCGGGCCAGGACTCTAGGCCCAAGAGTCACGCGACGACGCACGGGGCGGCCCCATCGGTGGTCGGGTGCGGCCGCCGTCAATGGCAAAGCAGGAGGCGGCACGGGAGCTCGTGGGGAGGAGGAGCAGAGGAAGGAGGGAGGAGGCGCATGAGACCCGCCGCCAGCGCCACCAGAGCCGCGTCCCAGCACTGAGCCGTCCGCTCCACCCGCCTGCAGCTATCCTGCAGGTGTCCGATCGAACAACAGATGGTGCGGCCGCGACCCTATGGGGAGGGTCGGGCGGCGGCCGAGGCCCAGCACAGCCAGCAAGCGCGCGAGCCGGAGGAGGGTCAGGCGGAACCCGCCAGCAGCCACGCGGCGCCCAGCCCATCATGCGCGCGAGCCTGGGGAGAGCAGGTGGAGTGAGGATGAGCTGCGCCACCGCAGAGTTCTCGAAACCCTAACACGCGAGCCATTGCCCGTCAGAGTGTGGCGGAGGGAGGAGGAGACGTGCCGGGGGGGAGCGGGAAGGAGCCACGCCGGGGGGAGCGGGAAGGAGGGAGGAGGAGCTACGCCGCTGCCAGGCCGCGAAACCTTCTGCGAGCCGCGACTTCTCGTCGGGAACGGGTCGAGCGAACGGGTAAGAAAGGAGAAAGGGACTGAGGGGTAGCATTGTCTTTTCATGTAGGTGTCTTTTCTTTTTCTTTTTTTTTACCATTTAATCCAAGCATTTTAGACGGTGTTACAAAGCAGGGGTAGACGGGAGCTTCATTTGAAAAAAGCGAGGGTAAAATTATAAGGTTAAAAAAAGAGGGGTAAAATTACAATTGGAGTATTGGACAAGGGTAAGAACACAATTTTCTCTATTATATTTGATGCAGACTTTATTTCATGCATAGAGTTAAAATAATTGTATGTAGACAGATGCACACTTTTTTTAAACAACGTAGATAAAGACGAATCCGTTGTTTTGTTATTTTCGCATATGTGTCATGTAAACCTGACAATGGGCCAGGATCCGCACCGAACCCACACCAAGAAGCCAAACCAGGTTGCACCATTTTTTTAACTGTCACCGGGGAAGAGCATCCCACCTGAATATTATTGATGATCATCATCGGCCTCGTTTTTAAGGGCGCGTTTGGTTTCCTGGATGCAGCCCAACCAGGCTCCTCGCGTGCAGCTAGCGCATGATTGGTTGGCTGCGCTAGCCACTGGGCCTGTCCCAGGCCATGCAAAACGGACGCCCGAAGCTGGCTCTGTGGATACGAGAAATTTTCTCGTTTCTATCGGGCCAGGCTGCCGTGGTGCAGCGCACTTGAGCGTGAGGTACCGAATGAGAGAGCAGTGGTGCGGGACAAGGATGCTACCAAACAGCGTCTCTCCGTGACTTGGCTAGACAGAAACGATAACCAAACAAGAGAAGCTGCATGTGCTAAGCCTGGCCGGCCAGAGCCAGGACGTTAGAATACGAGCCAGGCTTCATTCATCTGGAAACCAAACACGCCCTAAGGGAACGAGACAAAACCTTAATGTCCGGTTAAATTTGAAAAACCGAACTAAAACCATACAATAGACCCTGCGCAAGAGCGAGTTCGTGGCATATCCACTAATAAGAAAAACAGCAGCAGACAAAAGACCAAGCACAAGGGCGAACAGTGGCACAACCACAACACACTAAAAGAGGAAAAACTAGAACACCAAGGCACAAAACTAGTCAACGATGCCTCCAGGGAGGTGAACGACGCAAGAGCGTAATCATCGTTAGCCAAGCAAGAGCTTAGCAAGGCTTTCGCCTGAGCGTTGTGCCGAGGAGAACCCCAAGAAGGCCCCGAGTCTGCAGGAGGTTCTTCAGCGACGCCTTCAAGAAGGAAGCTCCGCCCGATGGCGTCCCTCGTCGCTGGCCCAGCCTAGGGCTGGGCTGAGGTTTCGTCCAGAACCTTCGCAAGAGCTGTCACATTCGAGGCAACAAATGACATTGTTCCCTTATCCGGACTCCATGGCTGACACCCCAATGCCGCCACTGCTGCAGGCAGAGGCATGGACGACACCGTCATACTGCCGAGACGGCGCTCTGCCCTCCCCGACGAGAGGCACAGGGGGAGGGTGCTCACGGACACGTAGCCCCACCGTCGGCTTGTCCGCGGCCAAACTGCATGCTCCGCGCACGCACGTGTAGAAGGAACTGCTGCCAGGACACCATCTGTGCCCCGAAAAGGAGAGGGCAGCCACGGTTCCACCAGATCCGGACGTGAGGACGTCGGATCGATGCAGGGACACCAAGGTCACGCAACCCCACCGCCGGCATGCCCGCGACCAAACCGCGCACGCCAAGGGCCCTGCACACGCACGAGATGAAGAGGCATCGGCACAATAGAGCACCACCACTACATCAGACCGAGGGGGGCGGCGAAGCCTAGCAGACACCCGAGTAGGTGTTCCACTGGGTGAGAGCACTGCAACGGGGAGACGAGGTCTGGCTACCGGCCACCGTCAGCAGGAGCCAGCCGGTCCCCGCCTGCCACAAGCCGCTGAAGGCACGGGCCCTCCGGCCCCCGCAGCCCGCTGGCCGCCGTGGGCGCGGCTCAACCGGTCCCCGCGAACAACGCCGCTCGGATCCAGCCGGGCCCGGGCACCGTAGGCCAGCCGCCGCCCCATAGGCGCGGATCCAGGGGCACGGGCAGGCCGCCGGCCGAGCGCGCCTGGGACGCGGCCGCCAGATTCAGCTTCCACAAAGCCAGATCCGTCGCCCAGGAGCGCCGCCGGCCAAGTAGCGCCGCTGCTTGAGGGGAAGTTCCGGGAGGGCGAGTGAGAGGGGAGGAGAGGAGGCGGGAAGGGGAGAGGGAGGTGCGGCAGCTGCCTTTTTTAGCAGCACCACCGCAGGCTGCCGCCACCGCACGCCGGAGAGAGCGGCGACGACGGCTGGAGGGGCGGCACCGGAGGGCCCTAGGCGGCGGCGGGGGTTGGTTCCCCGAGTCGCCTCAGAGAGACACGCGGGGTCGGGCTCCTTGACCACCAGGTTGCACCATGACTTCCGTCGCCCCCTAGCCAACCAAACCAGATGTGGGACCCGTAGGTTGAGCCCATTAAAATGCATTTGCCAACCTACCAGTCCTCCAGCCGTTCACCCCAAGCTATTGGCGCTGTTCGGCTGGCTGGCCGGTGGCGGGCTGGCTGGGCAGCCCCTCACGAATCACTGTTCATGTGAACAGTGATTTCAGCCAAAACAGTATTTTTCTCTCATAATAATCAGCTGGAACAGTATTTTGGCTTATTTTTTAGTCCTGCCGAACAGGCTGATTGTTTACTGCTCTTTGTATGGAAAATAAAAGAAGGAACATATAGACTAGCTCTTTATATGGAAAATAGATAATCTAGGAAAAATAAAAAAGTTTAAAACATCACGTACTCCTGGGAACAACATAGATAATCTGCTACTTCGTTACAAGATAATCTGCACAGCTAGCAGCTTCTTCGTTACAAGATAATCTGCACAGCTAGCAGCAAATGGGACCTCAGCATGAATGATATGCTTGATCATAGCTTTACAATAGAGTTGGGCATCAAAGACAAAATTTGTATTGTCTGGTTGCTTGCTCATGCTTGCTTGAAATCTCTTTCTGATAGCACTGTCAATTGCTGGACAAGCATTGGCAACATGACCTCTAAGACTACTAGTGCCAGACTTGTAACCAATTTTAGTTGGCAGTACTTGCAAATAGCTTTCAGCTCACCATCCACATGAACCAAATCTTTCTCGAAGTGCTCCCAAACATTGGACCGCGTACGACGTGGCATCAAAGATGTATGACCCTCTTCAATAATCTCATGAGTTCCAGACCCCTCTGATGCATTGGATGTCATCTTTTCACCTGAAGAAACAGAGAAACAGTGAGTCAGATCCCAAGTTTTATATCATAAACTGAAACTGAAAGATACATAGACAAGCTGGTAAATATGGACAAGAAGTTTAATGCTGCGGAAACTGAAACTAAAACTGAATTAATTGGTAAAGAAAAAGGAACATATATAGAGCACAGCTGAATTTTAACACAAGTCAAGAATAAATGACTTTTAACACAAGCACAGCATGTATATATGGAAATGTAGGATCCGTGTCAATTGTGAACATGAGATATTGTTAGTGTTGCATGTACTGTATACACTCTGGGATGCAGTCATACAGTTAACAAATGGATAGAGCAAAGATATTATAGATGGTGAGCTACAAATGAGCAGATATCAACAGCAAAACCCAAATAAAGAATAATTTATGCGGTGGACGTTAACATAAATAATGCTATGATCAGAAATAATGCTACGATCAGCATTGCAGTCGTCATCAGACGCAAACACAATGATAGAAGTAGTGGTCGTGCTTGCTGCTCCTGCAGAGGAAGCCCCCACACCGCCACCTTCACCTCTGCGTAGCTGTGGGATGGCTTTGGATCCTTCAGGGGACAATGGCGCGGTGTCCTCCCCGAACCTCAGCGATATGTAGAGTTTCATCGATGGCATCAAGCTACCACTTCAGCAGCCGCTTATTGTGTCACCACCTAGGCTGCGCATCACCAAGGACCCAAAGGTTGCTGATGATGACGATTTCGTCCCCAAGCGTAGCGCCCGTTTAGCTGCTAAGAGCCAGTTCAGAGCATCGAAGCTGGACGCCCAGGCAAGAAAGGTGCTCATGAAAAAGCTCGGGCTTGAGGTCAAGACGGCGAAGCCTGATGAGGTGACCTTTCAGGAGTTTCAGTAGACTTTCGTCACGTCGCTGCCCCCTGGAGGCGGGAAGCCATGAAGTTCCTCTTTCCGGGGAGAGGTCAGCGTCGTGATCCAGTGACGGACGTCGAGTAGGCTAAGCGGTCCCAATGCTCTTGCCTTGTTGTATCCACGGCCGTATAGTCCTTTGCTTTTGTTGTAGCTGCTAGGCTTTTGCTCTAGCTGATCGACAATCCTGGTTGGTCATGCGCGCTAGCGTCTTGCTAGTGGGCATGGAACAATCGGAATTTGTCGATGTTGTAAAACAATTCCTTTCGTCATAATGAAATACGAGTATATACCCGCTCGCGAAAAAAATAGAAGTAGTGGCATTGGTGATGGACGTACCTCAACAACGAAGTGCAACCCAGCCAGCTGAAGTCTATCTATGGCTTGGAGTTGTAGCTTAAATTATGTTGGCACGACTAGCATAAGGCCTTGCTCGAGGGAAAAAAAAATCCTGCGACAAAATGGACTCACTGCTCTCGGGAGCGTTTAATCTCTGCAGCATTATTTTCAGAACATGATTGAATATTTCTGTGTTTGACATGAAAAAACACTAACATGGTTGAATAGTCAAGAATGGATGACATATACTATACATACTAAACTCAGAGTTCTAGTTAGATCCGCGTCAATAATCTCAAGAATCATATATCCAAATGAATCTCTACTCTCAGATTGGAATGTCCTTGCATGATTTTTTTTTCTCAAGAACATATATCCAAATAAACATGATTGTAACATGATTTAATAGAGGAGATAAGAAGAAGCTGACCTTGCATCAAACTAGTATGTCCCTCAAGAAGCATCCACCTGCAAACTCGTTTCCCCAAGCTCCAGTAGTCAAAAGATGAGATTTTTCTCTCTTTTTGCTAGCATTGAAGGGGAACAAACTGCAGATCCGTACCCTACGCAGTTTCAATCTGGGGGAAGAAAAAGGAGAAGATAATGAGAATGGATGGAAAGAAAGCTTTGAGAACACGCAAGGTTAATGAGACTTACTGCACCAGGGTTCAGGATACACCAGTCACATCAAAGTTGTTTGATTCTGCTCCTTGAACACCAAATTCAGTGAGCTTTATGACCTGAACACAAAGACACATGAGTAATCCAGGTAACAAGTTGCAGTTGAGTGCAGACATCTGAATCAAACCAAGCACATACTTGGCCAGAGAAGATTCAAGATCTAATTGGAGAAAATAAGCCATCCTGATGCAGCGATTCATGGGACAACTAAACGAGCAAACCAAATTTTGATATAGCAGATAAGGAGCGAGCGAGAGAGGGGAGGGCAGCAAGCAAGAACGCACCAAGAAGATCCCTGTCTAGTGCCTTGTCCAGCTCCCCCAGCAAGAGGCAAGCCGGCGACGGTGGCTGCTCCTCCTCCGGTCTTCGCTCCTCACCCGGCCTGTTCGCTTGCTCGTAAACGATCGTAAATTTCCAGTCGAGAACAGTGTTTTTCTCTCACACCAAATCAGCCAGCAGTAAATAATCCACGATATGATACGGCCTCCCGAACAGGCTGGGTGGCTGCGCCAACCCTACGAGGTCGCCAGGTCGGGAACGCGGACCTCGGCGCCGCAATAGATGGAGAGAGGTGGACGCCGGACGGGGCTCGGGGCTAGGTCTAGCGTGTCGTTTTGCGCACACCCGATCGAACTGCGGGACGACGTGGGTAAGTAAAAGCTACTTTCGGTATGTTTGAGAAAATGTTAATATTAGCATAAAAAGGTGTACAGTTTGCGTTGAATAAACTATAGGTTCGGAAATCATTTTGAACGTACCTGGTTGTACTCCTATGTGACGTGGGTAAAATGGAAGCTCGTTTCGGTCTATTTAGAGACAGCGTTAATCTTGACGCAAGATGGGTGCACAGTTTGCGTCGAACGTGCAATAGGTTTGAAAATTGTTTTGGGTGCACCCGATGGAACTCCTAGGTGACGTGTGTCAGTGGAAACTTGTTTCGGTCTATTTGGAGATAGTGATAATCTCGACGCAAGATAGGTGCACGGTTTGCGCCAAACGTATCATAGGCTCAGAAATTATTTTGGACGTACCAGATGATACTCCTACGTGAAGTGGATCAAGTTGAAGCTTGTTTCGATCCATTTGGAGACAGTATTAATCACGACGCAAGGTAGGTATACGATTTGCGCCGAACGTGCAATAGTCTCGAAAATCGTTTTGGGCATACCCAATCGAACTCCTAGGCAGTGCTATCCTAAACGCTAACCGGTAAACAGTCGGCCACATGCCGTTTAGCCCATTATTCGGGCAAAACAGGTGTTTAAACAGGCAAAGCGACCGTTGAAACAATCAAAACAGCCGATTAAACTGAAACGGTGTACCACCACGTAGCATTTAAACGGTGTGTAAACGGACTAAACGGTCGTTTAGGCGAACAATGCTCCTAGGTGATGTGGATCAAGTGGAAGATCATTTTTGTCCGTTTGGAGAAAGTGTTAATATCGGCGCAACAAGGTGCACGGTTTAGGCCGAACATACCATAGGCTCAGAAATCATTTTGGACGTAGGACGCCGGACGGGGCTCGGGGCTAGGTCTAGAACATAGAACATCTTGCAAGGACTACATGAATACTCAAAAGATAATCGTGGAACATCCAATTTATACTAAACAAACATTATAAAATACATCATAGATCATCACATGTATATAACATGAACATCGTATGTATATTCTACGAACATTACAAGAAACATCTAGAACAAAGAACATCTGCATATCTTACATGAACATCACATGTATATAATGGAAAATAGAAAATAAAAAACTAAAAAAATAAGAGAATGAATAATCATAATAATTATTTAGAGTAAAATAAAGAAGAAGAAAAATGAAATAAAAAAGAATAAAAAATGCTATAATATATATATATATAGTAAATTACTAAGAAGAGAATTAGTTAATAAAATATTAAACAAAACATAGGAGAAAATAATTAAAAAATCTACTAAAAAGAGAAAAATAAAGTGAATATCACATTTATACTATGTGAACATCATGTAGTACACCATAGAACATAACATGTAGACTACATGAACATCAGATATATAATAAGAAATATAAGAAATAAAAAACATGAAAATGAAAAGAAATAACATACTTAAAATAGTTAATTAGATTAAATAAAGAAGAGGACAAATGAATAAGTTAAATATAATCAAAAGATTGTGGAACTATGTGAGCATCCCATAATACACACTGAAACATCTCTTATACATAGTGTGAGTATACAAAAATATATCACGCATCATTGCATATATTCTATGTGAACATCATGAAATTTAAATAAAAAATTAAAAATAAATAAGAAATAATTATAGTAAAATTAAAGGAGAAAATTAAAACAAAATAAAAATAAGAGAATTCACCAAAAACAAAAAGAAATATGAAAGAAAAAAGAAATAGAAGAAAATAAAGAAAAATAAAAAAATAAGAAGACGAAAAAATGAAGTAAATAAAATAATTCATTATATGAAAATTAAATAACAGAAAGATATAAATGATAAAAAAAGATAATAAAAAATAAAAGACAAGAAAAGAAAAAATAGAAGCAACGAAAGAAAACATAAATAAATAAAAGAAAAAAATCAAATCAAAGAATTAAAAAGCCGCAGAACTACATCACGGAACTAACAGCAGCAAAAGATATAGAAAATAATGAATTATATTAAAATAAAAAGATAAAAAGGTAAAATAAAAATAAGAATAAAACATCACAGAAAAGAAATACGAAAAAAAGAAGAAGAAAACTCACCAACCTGGAACGCGTACGACGTGGGAAACGAATGCGCTGAAGGAATGCGCTCATCGTCGTTCGTACGGTGACCGCGCGCTGAACGAATGCGCTGGCGAGTGAGCCGTAGGCCGCGCGCTGAACGAATAATCCTGCTGAAATCGCGCATGGGCCAAAATCGCGCGTGGCCGGGATCAGGTGGTCGGCAGGCCGACCGGTCGGCGCCGACGGTTCCGCAAAAAAGCACCCAGGCTGCATTGGTGCATGTAAACGTTTTTCATTGATGTGATGATTGAGAAAGAGGAAGAGGGGTGGGGTCGCGGGGAACTGGCGGAGATCGAGAGCAGTAGTGATGATTGATCTTGAGCGATTATTAGGGACGGCCAAACGGATAGAGATGACACCACCCACAAAAGGGGTGGTCGACGGCATCACAAGGTAGCGTCTGTCGTGGTGGAAGTATCCAGTCGTCAACGCCGGCGACATGAAAGACGGGGCCAGCCCATTGGCAACGGTGGAGGAAGACGACTCATTCGTTGGGCGTGGTGAGATACAGACACTGCTTCGGCTCGGCCAGCCGAAGCATAGGAGGAACCCCAGCTCAGCTCTGGTCCCGGCAGCAACCAGAGTGACATGATCTTGGCACTGCCGACGGTTCCCTGTGCGCTACCATCTCCCAGCCTGTCCTACCACAGTACCACGGCTGCCTGAGAAGAATCCCCAGAGGCCAGAGCCACGGCCGGGCGAGCTCCTCCTCATCCCGTCCGTCCTCGGGTTCACGAGGATCGCGTTGCGCTGCCGCTGCACTGCACCGCCCCATCCTCCTCCTCGTCCTTGGCCCACGCATCAACCAGCAACCACCACGCTCGGCCCCAGCAAAGCATCCTGCGCTGCAACCTCACCTCGCATCATTTACGACACCTCCCTGACACGCTACGGCCCGATGCGTCCGTCCATGGGCGCGCACAACACGAGCACATGCCGCTCTCCAGGTGCCCGGGGCCACGCCACGGAATGGCAGCGGCAGCCGGCTGGCGTACGGCTCGGAGGAAAAGATCCCAGAGAATCCTGTGGCTGCTCTGCTGTTCGCTCGCCAATCTATGATCCCAGGAAAAAAGAGGAATTTCACCGGTTACAGAGGTCAGTAAAAAACAGGAGCTAGTGGCTATATGCAGATCATGAAAGTACCTTCCATGATTCCAACACGGCAAAAGTCACACAAAAGATCAAGCAGAGAACCGCGAGAGATGACCAATACAGCCTCCTAATAAGTTAGACCACCAAAGAAAAATGGGGAGGAAAAAGAGAAGAGGAAGAAGCTCTGCTGCTCTAGAGGCACATGACTTTTTACAGTTAACAACACCCTACTGTCCCATGTTAATCTCCTCCTGCATCCCACAAAATGTCAGTCAACTACTCCCACTACTACCTGCATCCTCTCCACACGCCTAACTCCCAGACCTCTCTTCCCTACTCCATGTTCTGCGAGATGGCCTCGCCGAACTTGAGGAACAGCTCGGCGTCTGAGGTGCTGGACGAGTTGGCGCAGGAGAGAGCGCCGGTGCCCCGCAGGCTGACGTACTCGTTTTTGTAGCTTGGCACAGCTGGAGACGGCTGCGGCAGCTGGCCCAGCTGATGCGCGGATGGCTTTGGCGGCAGATCGGGGTTCGCCAGGCAGTCCAGGACGCGCACCACCTCGTGCATGGTCGGTCGGTCCGAGGGTTGCCGCTTGGTGCAAAGGAGCGCGAGCTGGAACAGCTTCTTTACCTCGCCAAGGTCCTTGCAGGTGTCCCCGATGTCAGGGTCCACGGTATCCATGACTTCATTGCTTGCCGTCTTCGATAGGATCTGCAATTGGAGGATACATTGATAACCTCATAAGAGCTTGACTCAGTATCTGCTGATCAGTACTAAAGTCTTTTTTTCCTGTGTTTCAACAATATATGGAAAAAGTTTCTTCCAAACAAGCAGCACCACCAGCGCATGTTATGATTTTATAAATGAATCGATTCTGGAACTACAAACTGACTCGTAATTTATCACACTGTTGCGCATACCTACTGTCAATTGAGTCATGTTCCACCTGTTTGAATCTGAGGTCACTTAAACTGTTGCGCATGGAAAGCCATAGGGCACATGATAAACCACTGACATCTTGTTAGTTCATTTTTTGCTTTCCATCTACATTATTTATGACAGGGGGACACCAACGGTAGGCTTTAGGGGACAGACACACAGCTACTTATAATGGAGCTTTCAGTCACCAAATCCAATGGATCAGCTCATCAGTCCACAGCTGGTCTACAGTGCAGATAGATCTACTCACATGCTAAGTTTCGTGTCGCTGGTCCCCTTGTAGGAACACAAGCCTAATGGTCATTGTTCAGCAATTATTGGGCACTATTGGAATCCAAAGCGATATAAGATTAAGGAAAGCGACTTCTAATTAAACAAATGCAGGAGACTGAAGAATAGTTACCAAGTGATGGAGATTGCACTCGTTGTCCACTGGCTTCTTGCCAGTCAGCAGCTCCAGCAGAACAATGCCATAGCTGTAGACATCAGACTTTTCGTTGAGACGGGAAGTGCGAGCGTACTCAGGATCAATGTAGCCAATAGTGCCCATGACATAGGTTGACGTGTGAGTTTTTGAGACACATAAGCTCTTAGCAATGCCAAAGTCTGTAAGATGGGCCTCATAATCTTTGTCAAGGAGTATATTCTTTGATTTTACATCCCGGTGAATTATTCGTGGACTGCAGTCATGGTGAAGATAAGCAAGGCCTTGAGCTGCACCAAGAGCAATCCGTAGGCGAGTCTCCCAGTCAAGTTTTTTCTTCTTGGATGAACCTTCTGAAAGAAAATAGGTTTACATTATGAAATGGTATAGTAATTGCAGCCAAATATCCATGACCATTAAATAAGCAAGCCTTCATCAAAACACGAATTGTCTTGAGAGCCCAACTGATGTTGTGTGACAGGTAAACAAACAAAGACTATTGAGATGAAACTAACAAAGACTATTGAAAGACTACTGAAATGAAAAGCAGCATAGTGGTGCTAGTTCCTGGTCGCTTTATAAACTGTTCTCGTGATTCCGTGACCACAAAAAAATGTCTGAATGGGTTTGGGACCTGGACTTACCATGTAAAACATCCCATAAGCTGCCACTTTCCATATAATCATAAAAGAGGAGGTTCCCAACAGGTGATAATGAGTACCCTTGAAGGCTGACTAGATTCCGATGCTTGATGCTACCAACAGTCTCGAGCTCGGTTTCAAATTCCTTAAGGCTCTGCGGGTAGTGGGCAAACAGCTTTTTTATTGCCACTGGTTTGCAATTCTTGAGAACACATTTATAAACTGTACTTGACGCCCCGTATCCAATGATATATTTCTCACTCAAGTTCTCAGTCATCCTCATTATATCATCGTATACATGAAGGGCCATGTTCATATGAAGGATCACCAGCTTGGGGGGAGCATTGCTCACTGCAAACAGAATGGATATCAATTACAGGATATCAATGTTGTTCTAGCATCAACTATTAGAGACGAGTTATAACTTTACAAAATAAACTACTGAGTTGAATCCAGACAATATTATTATTGACAAAAATTATTAGTACATCAACATTACAAGATAAGACACTAAATAAGGTGGTGGACAACCATATTATTGTAAGAGGAGATTCCAAAGTTAGTAAATGCATTACCTGGCTTGCTTACAGTGACATCTTTAAAAGCAGGTGGACGGTGTGGCCTGCAAACAGCTACTAAGATCATCAGGAGGATAACAAGTCCACCCACAGCAACACCAATTATGGCAGTCTTTGAGATTGGCGCTGAATAGAAAAAACAGGAAGAAAAGATCTTGGTTTATAATGTATTGAAAAAATTCAGGTCAGATAAATTGACGAATGCAACAATCTTCTTACGTTTCTCTCGGTGGCCAGGGGAATGACACGAAGAACCAAGCCAATATCCACAGAGTCCAGGATTACCTAAAAAGCTGAAGAAATAACAAGATCGCTAAACTACTATTTCCATGTATAAGCAAAAAGATAGTCGTGATTGAAATCATGGAGCACAATACCTGTCTGGAGAAAACCGTGTGAAGTTGTTGTCAGCAGGGACAACACCAGCCAAATTATTGTATGACACATTTCTGTCCAAAGATGCAAAAGGTCAATGTTAGAAAAAATACAAAATTTTGTGCATCCTTCCAATATTCAGGTTATGAAATTACAAGATATTGAGGCTGAAGCAGTTCATCAGAGAAGAGACATCGCCGGTTATATTGTTATTTTCCAGTTTTCTACAAGAGCAAATGATGATTCAGAACAAAGCTGCACTTGAGAAACTAAACTTACAGACTAAAAAACTTGGATACAACTTACAGCACCATCAGGTTTTGCAGCATTTCAAGTTCTTGAGGAATCAGGTCACCAAGGTGATTATAGGATAAATCTCTAGAAACAACAGTCAAGTCATTCAAAATATAATGCAAGGCCAATAAAAGGATTCACATAAATAAGGTCAAGTACTTACATCTCCATGACACTCCTCAAATTACCAAACTCCGCAGGGATGAATCCAACTAGACCATTCTTGCTCAAGTTACTAGAGAAACATGTTCAATGTCAGGACATGAAGCAGGAAAAATACCAAGAAACCGTAGGCCCAAAAAACTTACAGCCTCAATAGATGCTCTAGGCTGCCAATGGATGATGGAATTGGACCAGTCATCATGTTACAGGATAAGTCCCTGGTACATGTATCTATGTTATATATAGCATTAGCTTGAAATGGATACTCTTAATACGTGTGAACTGATGAAGGCTTACAACGTGTCCAAATTGTTGATCCTTGATAGCTCAATAGGAATAGAGCCACTTATTAAATTTGATGACAGATTTCTAAAGAAACAAAGGAAAAGGTTGAATGTGAGATACGAATCAATACGAGCAAAAGAGCATATCAGTACAAAAAATTGGAAATGCGTTCAACTCAATTTAGCACAGCATGAGGCTCAAAATCTATTCGAACTTACAAATAGGTCATGCTTTCAAGTTTCCGCAACGACCTAGGAATGGTCCCATTTAACTTGTTGCCATAAGCATTGCTGTTAAATAAAATTAGCATGTTATATAGATACTTGCAACATTGCACATGACCTGCAAACTTTCAGAAATAATTTGAGCTTACAAGCTATTGAGATTCACACATGAACTTAGGTTGTCAGGAATTGGTCCTTCAAGGTGGTTATTCGCAAGGTTCCTGTGAAACAAGTAGAATCAGCTATGTTCATGCAATGTAGTTTTCTGGAAAAGAAGAAAACACTGGTTCACGTGACAAGTAATAAGAGGGTGCATGAAAAGTACTTACAAGTCAAACAAGCCTGTTAGCCTTCCAAGCTCTGGTGGAATTGACCCAGTAAGTTGATTATCGTTCAGTTCTCTGAATTTAGATAGTTATGTCAAAGATAGATTAATGGTCAACCTGAATCTTGATATCCATAACAGAAGAAATACTAAAACTTACAGGTAATGAAGTGTTGACATATTTCCTAACTCTGGTGGTATCAACCCAGTTAACCTATTGCCTTGGATGTACCTATGAAGTTTTAACATGTATAAAGACATAAACTTAGAAATATGTTCACATCAAACTGTTTCTAGGGTGAATTGTATCAGTTAAAACTAAAATCTTGAAAATCTATGAACCAGATTTAGGGGGATAAGAATTCTTACAGCTTCTCAGTGTATGTCAAGTTGCCTAGTATAGATGGTATAGGACCAGATAATTGGTTGTAACTCAGATCTCTGATAGAGTAAAAGTTCCATGAATTAGCAATCACATTTCTTTCACTAACGGCAACGAGAAAGCAATGTCTCATTTGTAGATTAGTCAATTATCTAGTAATAACTGTAGGATTCACTGTAGGACTTACAGAACAGCGAGAGCCTGCATAAGACCAATTACTGAAGGAATTGGACCAGTGAACTTGTTCCCTTGCAAGGACCTAATAAAAGGTACATGCATCTTTGCAGGTAAGCTTATATATATTAGGCATGTAATTACATTATTTTCAGTGAAAAGAAACAGGCAAACAGCACATACAGTGTAGCCACTTGTAGGAAACCAATGTTGAATGGGATCGGTCCAGTAAAGCGGTTGTAAGACAAATCCCTACCAATATAAACTGTTAGGAAAAATGATATATATGAAAAGTTAAATCAATTATTTCAAGTGTGGCAAGAATGTATATACGTACAAGACCTGAAAACTTGTACAGTTCCCAATGGTGTCTGGTATCACCCCAGTCAAGCTATTGTTCTTCACATCACTGATCAAATTAGTGCGAAGCTTAAAACCAGATTGAAAAAACACAACAAACTTCCCTAGAAAAAAACACAAACAAACTTGCAGCAAACTAGGCAAGCAGTGTACTTACAAGTACCAAAGACCAGTCAGCTGGCACATATCAGGAGAGAGGCTTCCTTCTAAATGATTGCCCCGCAAGCCCCTAGTAATTATAGTTTACTAATTTAGCCACAAAACTTAGAAGAAATTACTTGATGTTTCAGTAACAACTTATTATGTGTTTGAATGCCATTTCACAAGAATATATCCAAACAATAAAGACTTAATAATGCTGCCTAGCTTTTACTGAGCAGCCAGGCCCCTTAAATATATAGTAGCAATGTATGTACAGTACCAGCAGTCCAGCACTAGTACAAAACTTTTTGAACCTCAAGGATGACTTACAGATATTGAAGGACCTCATTCCAGTAGATAAGCCTTGGTATCTCCCCAGTCAGTTTGTTTTGTGCCAAATCCCTGGAGTGCGCAACACATTAGAGATCCTGTGACAATAGTTGATCCACCTTACAAGAATCATGTAGCAGTAGTAGCTTACAAAATCTTCAAATTTGGGAGCTGTGACAATGTTGATGGGATCGCACCAATCAGCTGGTTGTTCTTCAATATCCTAGAAATCACAAACAGCACCACAAAATCTGTAAAAAATTCCAAAGCCCCAAATGACGTGTATTTCTATGGATTTCAGAGAGAAGACGACTCACAAGTTCTCCAGGTGCTTCAGCTTTGATATAGAAAATGGTATGTCGCCATCCAAGTTGTTGAAAGAAAAGTCCCTAAACGAAAAGGTAAAGTTTGAATAGAAGCACTACCACCACAACCACAACTAAACATGGGTAACTCGAAGTTCGACTTACAGCGTCCTAAGTGATGAACAATCGCCAATCTCATCAGGGATCTGCCCGGATAGCCCATTTGACTTCAGATCGCTGAATGTGAATGCAAAGGAGACCAGTTAACACAGGTCAGTAAACTAAAATCCAATCAACAGCAGTCAAAGAAGAAATCATCCGTACATGGAGACGAGGCTCTTGAGGCTGCCGACGGCTGGAGAGATCTCGCCCTCAAGGTTGAGGCCAGAGAGGTTGCTGCGTTGAATTGGCGCCAAGCCGCATCAGTGGCTACACATCGCAATAGTTGGGAAAGGAGCAAATTAATGGACGCTCTTCTTACAGGGCAGCGACGGCGAATGTGACGTTGTCGCACAGGACGCCGCGCCAGGAGCAGTAGTCGTCGCCGGCCCAATCGTACAGTACGTTGCCGACGTTGCGGAAGGACTTCTTGATCTCCACCAGCGTCGCCCCTGGAAGATGCAGAACTAGTCGCATTAGCAGAAAAAAAAAACGGAGACACACAACAGATTACAGACTGGTAGAAATCTGAGCAGACGATTCGGCAAATGGAATATCCGCAGAAAGGGAGTCGGATAATCATTTATTAGAAACTCTTGGAGATGATCTTTTTTTTCCTCCCTAAATCTTTTTAGGAGTTGCCAAACTATAAGTTTTTAGAAGAAAAAAATAGGAAACTCTTGGAGATGCTCTAACAAGATAGTTGAAAAAAAAAGACTAGTGTTTTCAGGCAGGAAAGCAAAGGAACTGGGGAACGTCAGATTTGGAAATCCCAAATATGACACGATGGTGAAATATGAAGTTACTTGGATTCATTCAGATAGGAAACAGGATCATACTCCAGAATAGCAAACCAAACACAGCTAAAACACACAAAAATAGAACAGGCTAAACAAAAGAGAGCAAGCTTCCAGCACTGAAGGGCCAAACAAAGAAACAAGAATCGATGCTCGAATGTTTTAATAATGTTCTGAGCATTTGCTCCAATAAGGAGCACAAGAAGGCACATGTAAAAAAACAAAACATAACATGAAGAGAAAAAAGATCACATTTTGAAACATGGGCAGACTAGTTAAAAGCTCGTAGGCAAGGAAGAAGAGAAGAATAGAAGATGAGATGAGATGAGATGCACAGCTCACAAGGATTAGTTAAGTGTTAGACTCGGGTTACGGGCTTATACGGCAATAAAAAAATGGGAATGGAACACTAGCGAATCACCATGCCTCCAAAAGCGCGTACTTGCAGCGCTAATAAAATACTAATCCTAACAAACCCAACCCCTGAATCTTTGCTCCCCAGTAGGCAACCAGAGGGCTCCCAGAGAAGAAAGAAATAATAAAGAGAAATGGATTTCGAAAAAAGAAACAGATCACCAACCATCGTCGGCGACGGCGACGGCGACGACGAGGAGGGCGACGAGAGCACTGGCGGCCGTCGTCGTCATGGCCACTGAGCTGCGGACAGGCATCGGGGGAGTGACATTACAGGGAGAGGACAGCGACGATGGAGCGCGAAGCGTGCTGCAGCGAGCCTGCCTCTGCCTGCCGGCCTTAATGGGGGCGGAGCTCGGTTGGTTTCGTGGGTTCTCGCGCTCGGCTTTGCGCACTTGCGCCGCTGGCTGGGCGATAGAGTGGCAGGGCAGGGCAGGGGCTATGGAGAGAGAAAGAGAATGGCTGTTTACGCTAGAGAGTGGTTTCTTGTGACGAGAGATTGGCGCCTGTTCAGATTTCAAGTTTTTTCATTCTCTCTTCGTCACATTAAATCTTTCACATATGTATAAAATATTAAATATAGATAAAAAATATTTAATTACACAGTTTGATTGTAAATTACGAGATGAATCTTTTGAGTCTAGTTAGACCATAATTAAACAATAATTATCAAATACAAATGAAAAATGATACAGTGTCAAATACTGATTTCTAACCCCAATCTAAACAAAGGCATGAAAGGACACTGAGAGGTCACATCAATGATCTACAGTGCTTTTCTCTCTCTATCTGGTTGGCCTAGAGCAGTAGAACTCGAGTAACAGATCGAGGAGCATGGAACAGCTGACATGTGGGGCCTGCGGGTTTGGATTGGGTTAATGCTTACTCCCCTGTCCATAAACGTGTTTTTTTCTAGACGAAGGTAGTAGCTGTGAGCAAGGATAAGGCCAGTTTCACCAGAATCTTAACCTGCTTGTTTGCGATCAAAGTTAAACAAAAAAAATACTACAAATCTGGGAGCCAAATATAAAAAGTTTACAAGTTTTTGATAGCAAACCAAAAAACAGCTAAAATCATATGGTTTGCTAAATTTTTGGATTTTGGAGCAAACCAAGCAGACCCTTTGTATCTTGCTTTGTATCTCGTATACAGGTCCGTTTGGTTGAGTTATGACTATGGGGAAAAGCTACGGTAGACTGTGAGCTGTGAAAAAGATGTTGTGAACCGTGGAAAAATTGAAAGCTATTTGGTTAAACAAGTATAAAATATACATTATATTGGTATCTCTCTTAAAAACAGTTATGAAAAAAGTTCTTTATTCCACCTATTTCGAAAAGCAAAAAGTCAAAAGCCAAAAATCAAAGTTTAAGTTGCTTTTAAATAGTGTATTACGGAAAATCAACTGCTTCCGAAAAAAATAACTCCAAAACTAGTCCCTTTAATTGGGCTTTTGCCTTTTGTGAAACAAAAGCGGCCCTAAAAACCCAACCAAATAGACCCTAAGTTTCTCGGACGTGCTCCCTCCGTCCTTGTAACAAGTGTCATTCTATTTTCTTTGACATTTTTTTTCAATTTGATCAATATATATATATATATACAATATTAATATTTATGGTGCATCATTCGTATCATTAGATGAATCACTAGATATATTTCATTATAAACATAATTAGAGATATAAATATGAATCTAGTCAAATTTTAAAAAGTTTGACTACCATGAACAGTATAGCAATATTGTTTTTGGGATAGAGGGGGTAACGATTTTTGAGAAATAATAATGTAGAATTTATTTCTCTATTTTTATAGGTTAGCTGCAACATTCAATATTTTCATCGTGTTATCATTGTGTTGCTATCAAAAATATATTATATAAACTATATAGTCCTTTTGATATTATTATAAGCATTAGCATGTTATTACACATGGTCATATTGGCGAATATATATAGGTTACTATACGTGGCAACCTCTTGTGTTTGAAATTTCACATGGACATGGTAAATAAATATTGCAAATGAAAACTGCGGCCATGCTTTTTATCGTAGTGCCGCACGAGATCGAAAGAGATGAAACAATCAACCTCAGTGTGGATTTCATCACCATCCCAATGCCTTGGAAATAATGCTAACAAGTTTCATCACTACTTTTGCTAAGGTATCACCCTGCTTAATGCTTCTAAAACTTTCGTAACATTATCATTGAGACTGGCCCTAAGGGTAAACGTAGGAGTTTGGAATCCGCTCGGCCAAAAACAATGTAATTCTTGTTTTTATAGTTTAATCAAATATATAAAAAAAATAACTAGATGTTGAATAAGTATTATTAGATTAGTTAAAAATATATTTTATAGTAATTATTTTGATACATTAATATTGATACTATTTGTATAGATTCAGTAAAACTAAACAAATTGACTTGTTTTGTATCTAGAATTACATTCTTTGTGATGAGAGAGTAGACTTTAAAGTAACTTCACACGAATCATTTTATTTTCACATGGAAAAAGGAAAATTAGTATTTTGAAGGGGATAAGTAGGTCTATACTGACCTTTTAAGATCATAAAAGTTTCCAACTACAACCGGCAAGAGGTTGGAGATGGCAAAAAGGCCCCGTTTGATAGGGAAGAAGCCAAATCTCAACAATTCAGTTCAACTTTAAGTGTGACTCTTTTTAACATGGCGTTTGCTTGCATGGATAGGAGGTTAAGAACATATATTTGGGGCATGTTTAGATCTACTAGTGCTAATAGTAGAAACAACAATTAGTATCAGTGAATCTAAATAGACCTACTAGACTAACTATAAGATAGAGGGTTGCTAATTAGTATGTGCCAACCAACTATTAGCAACATATGAGCAAATGGATTCCCAAAAAAACATATGAGCAGTGGGTCTAAACAGTCCCTGAAAATAATTAGTTAGTGGCTATTAACTGGGTAATTATTAGAGCATGTTTGGATCCGCTAGCAGTTAATAGTAAGCTAACTATGGCTCCTAGCTAGAATGAGCTAACTAACACTTAGATGTTATTAACTGTGCTGGTCTAACTAGTGAGATAGTAGTTTGCTAGATATCCAACTAGCAACTAGCTAATTTATTAGATGCCTATGTTTGGATCTAATCCGGCTAATTATTAGCAGATAACTATTAGCTCTATGAATCTAAACAAATCCTTAATTATAATTAATATTAATGAATCTAAACAAGATTTGTATAGGTGTCAACCACTCTACAACTGCATTTTGTACACTTATGGTTCGTCGGGCTTTTGTGGCGAGTAAAATGAGCTATGGTGGCGTAAACATAGCACAACACACGATGAGTTTGTGATAGAACCAAATGAATGTTGAAGCTTATGCACAGGAGACATGGTAGCAAACCATTAGCCATGCCCTAAAAATGGTATTTCTAGACACATGGCATTTGAAATAATGAATCGGACACTTAGCTTATAGCTTGTAAAATGAGTCGCCGTGTGAAAAGACTCTCTATTTTTTCTAATTATTAGGAATAGAGATTTTGATGAAAAACTTCTCTCCAACAGCTTTATTGAATATCTAAATATAGTCATCTCTATTTCAGATTTCTTGTTAGTCAAAGATGAAGAGGAGAGAATAACTATATAGAGTGCCATAAGTATAGAAAAGCTACGAAGAATGAAAAAAAAATATAGAGAACACTCTTTATTCAAATGACTTCTACCAATCATGATTTAGAGAGTTAGTTTTAGGAATACACTTGGAGATGCTCTAAGACCCTTAAACTTAAGGTCCGAAATAATTTAGCGAGAAGTTGTTTTTTTTCTCGTTTCAAAATAAATTAGGAGCGGATGAAAATATTATTTTTTGTTTCACCCGCTTCAGCTCATCTACACTTCAGTGGCAGGAAGTCCAAGTGGTTTAGGGTCCGTTTGGTTGGGCTTTTGGCTTTGGCTTTTGGTCTCAAAAGTCAAAAGCCCAACCAAAGGGGTTGTTTTTGGAGGTGGTTTTTTCGGAAGCAGCTGCTTTTCTATAGTACATTTTTGAAAGCTGGTTTGACCCTACTTTTGTCTTTTGGCTTTCTACTTTTCGAAATTGGTGGAATAAAAAGCTTTTCCATAGTTGTTTCAAGAGAGATAAAGATAGAAGGTATATTTTATATTTGTTTAACCAAACAACTTTCACTTTTCTACAGTTTTTTTTTCCCAGAGCCATAAACGTATTAGACAGTAGAGCCACCATATAATCGGTGAAACTTAGAAGTGACGTGGTGTTACCTGTGATCTTACCGTGCTGTGGGTGTGCGTCCGTGATCATGAGTGCTTGCCTAGCACAAGGCGACCGACATGTGGGGGCAATGTTACTATACCCCACACGTCAGCGCTGCATGATTGAGCCCACACGAAACGTGATCACGTGATGTTTATCAGGATTCTGCAGGAAATGTCAGGGCATTGCTTTCCCCTCTTTGTCTCTAGTTTTTGCCTCCTTTTTTGTCGTGCCCTTTATCCGTTCCTTCTTCCCTTTTTAAACCCAACCACCACCACCACCATCACGAAAAAAAAAACCCGCGCTTAAAGCGATTTTTTTAATTTTAATATTTTTTAAAACTAATTTTAAATCTAACATGGTCGGTTTTTTTTAAAACTAACACTTTTGGTCACGCCTATTGCTCTGACGCGGCAAAATGCATGTGCCGCGCCATTCATGGTGGCGCGGCAGAGGGCTGACGTGGCGGTGACCCGAATCATTGACCGCTGACGGGGTAGGGCCTGTCGCGCCACCGATCTTAGCGCGACCTAATCCATGGCGCGGCAGAGCCGAATAAGACCCCCGCCACGGCCAAGCGTCGTCGGTCGATGGCGGCGCCGCCATTGCTGAAAGAAAGCAAAGCAGGTCGCCGCCTAGCCGCCATGCCCGCGTCCGCCCGCCGCCGAGCACGCCGGCCACCACGCCACAAACATCGGCCGCCCGACCCTCCATTGCCGCCTCCCTCCCTTCCCTTCCATTCCCCAGCCGCCTCCCTCCCTCCTCGTTGTAGTGCAAGGTAATGACGCACATTTTATTTTCGTTTGAATGGTGGATAGTATATTATGAATGGGAGCTAAGTTTAGGAGGAAAATTATGTTTGAGAACTATGGTCTACGGTTTGAAGGAAGATATTAGTTTAATTTTGTCAATGTTAAGATTAATTATTTAGTTAAAAGTATGTTTACCATGTATATTTATGTTGCTATAATTGTTGGTTATATTATTTTAGTTGCATTACAAATGATTA